ATGGAAGAAAAAAGACAAGCATTGGAGGAAACATGGCAATATGAGTTATAAAAGAAAATTTTGATCAAATCTTGCAACCATTCATGAAAAAAGGATGATGATGGTTCAATGGAACAGGCTGATTGGTGTCCATTTCAATATATTCAAAGTTACATTGATATGAACTTCTAAATTCAATTTCTGATTGTGGAAAAAAAGAGAATTTTGAGAGACTGCTTCAATGAGCCCGAGTCTAACAGCGAACTGGCCTGCTTGTTGAAATTTAGAGCTGTTTTGTACCACAAACATTGAGTTTCATCGTTAGTGCTGTTTTTTAGATAGGTACTAATTTTAAATTTTGTTTTCTCTGCAGTATCTCTCAATGACATGATGTTATAACTGCCAAACTTCATTGAGAGCGAAAGTATCTGTGATACACAGCCACTGATTGGCATGGCAAGCCACTCCCTCGCTCTGTCCACTATTAGACTGTCTAGACTGAATGATATCCATTATTATGAGAAGTTGTAGCTGCGCAATTCAATTTGTAACTGCATAGGAATAAAATATTTTAAAATTTTAAGTTTTTGTTGTGGTGTGATGTCAAGAACTGAGGTGATTCTTAGCAATTTTGATAATTTTGAGACAACCTCGTCTTTAGCTTTTGTATTTTTGCCTTCAAAATCGTACAATCTGCCCAGATAGATAAAACTGCCACCAATTTTGACATTGGGACGAACATCGTTTTTGATTTTTAACCTCGGAGATAATTGTTCATAAACTCCGTCTTTTTTTCCCATGCCAAATGAGCTGCATTTATCTACTCTCATCTGCATGTCCGACCATCTACACCATGCATAGTTCAGATCAATAAATTTCTGAGGACCTACCGCAATGTGGGCAATAATTGCCGAATTGTCGGCAAATTGAAGCCAAGATTTGGCTTTAAGCCCAGATGTTGGACCCCAACAGTAACCACAGCTAGCATACTCTTGAGTTTCCAGAATTTTCATAGAGGGTTGAAACACAAATTGAAGAGTAGTGGCAAGCATGGGTCACCCTGGAGGACACCTTTTATAACCGGCAATGCTGGTGTCAGTTTGTTGTTGATTGAAACTAATACCGAGCACTCTGAGGATATATATTGCCGTTATATTGAGTTAATGAAGGAATGGCTTACTTCACCAAAAGCATTTTTTAGATAGGGGAGGGCAACGATAATTGTTCATTGGTGTCTTTTGGCATCTTTTAATACGTGGGTTAGCATTTGTGTATGCTCTGTCAAGCCGTCGACCTCAGGATAAAATCCTTTTTGAATATTGGTGTTGATAAACTTGTTTTGATGAAGAAAGTGATATAATATATTTTTTAAGAGGGATGATAAAATTTCATAGAAGACTGGTAGTAAAGTTATTGGTCTAAAATTAGCTGGGTCACTGGCGTCGCCTTTTTTGTAAATTAAAATCGTTAAGGCTTTTCTCCAGCAGTTTGGAATTGTAGACGAGACCCAACATTTTGACAACAGTAGATGTAGATAAGTTCTAAGTATCGGACATCTTTTAAATATTATAATTGACATTTGATCTAGCGGGCATGGTGAAGCTTTTGATTTAATTTTACGAATAATTGATGATATTTCTTCATATGATGGTGGATTTGTGTTGCCATTAAGCTCAGGCTGTGGCAAAGGTGGAATCCAAACAGGGATAGTATAATAATAATAATAATAAAAATAATAATAATATTAATAATGGGAACGCTTTTATTTTCCGAAAAACACAAAATGATTAAAATATAAGTATAAAAATAAAGTACATTATGAGTTAAAATGATAATCTACAACAAAAAAAATGGGTGCAAAAAGAAATAAAAACGGTATTAAATTGAGTTCAAATTGCGTTATAATAACTATAATAATAATAATAACAATAATAATGGGAGCATTTTTTTGTTGACCGAAAAGATAAGTAGTGTTTCAGTGGTTAAGTGTCACAATATATGCTATAATACGAGCGAATTATCGCGTTAATCAGTTTTTCATCAAAAGATTTCGGCCATAATATTTTAAACAAAGTTAGATTAAAATTGTTATAAAAACCCACAGGTGATATTTCAAAGGAATTAATAATTAACGAACCGTTATTATAGACTGAATTTAAGTTTAATTTCAAGTTTTTATATTTCTGGCGTTTGTATTCACGATGATGAAGCTAGGTTGGTTTCGTGGCAAATTGTAAGCTCTAAAATTTCGATTTTGTTTTTTTTTTGGAGATTGGCAATGTCCGGCCGCAACTTGTCGAACAACTGTGACATTGGAAGTACATTTTCTGCATTAAGATCGGCAAATATGCAACAGTTTGAGGGTGCACAAATCTTTAACAAGTTGACAATCAACGACAGCAGTTTGTATGTCTGTCCGTGTACCTTGCGAGAGCCGTTGTAGAATCACAGTTCGAAACAACATGTTTATTTGTTTGGCGATAACTGCACAGTGAACATAGAAATGTTGTTGAATTACCCCATTTAAGTAAGTTTCAATTGGTGGGGAGCTGTTGTATTAAATATTTTCTAGTAAACTTATAGAACACCCCCGGTAATCCTTCGACGATCTTTGACCAATTTGACGTTTTTACTGGGGAAATGTGCTCATTTATTGCTTCAATTTACAAACCTTGGCATTGGAGATTAAACACATAATAATAATAATAACAATAATAATAATAATAATAATAAAGACAATAATAATAATAAAAACAATTAATAATAACAATAATAATTATAGGTGGAATTTGTTTCGCGCCTCACAATTCTACGCTTTTTTTGCCGCTTTGACAGCTATCGTTTAAAACAATTAAAAAATTTTCGTTGTTAAAATTTTTCATTATAATTTCATGTTTCTTTTTTAAATTTATTTGTATATATTTTTAATAATATTAAAACTATAATAATAATAATTAATAAATTTATAAATAATGCACTGACGATGACGGTTTAACGTCGAAATAGATGTATATGCAATAATTTTGTTAGTATAAATAAAGCTTTGTCCTGGTTATGACATTAAACTGACCCTCACTGCCTTGTGAGCAATGTTGGATCATCAAAGGCTAGGCCCACCGCTTATAACTGTGGTTGCGTAAGGAAGGGCGTCCTGCGTAAAAATTAGCCAAATAAATTACTTATGATGACAGAAGTTTCATCATAGGTAGCCAAACGGCAACCCCCGATCTCGGGGAAAATGTCGTCTAAACGTGTGTTGTTGTTGTATAAATAAAGCTTCAACTTTAAACAGGCTCAATCTTGTTGATAAAAATTTACTCAGACAAATTGAAAAATTTGAATACAAGTTGATAAATACTAATAAATCGGTGGAATTTATTATATATTGTCAAGAATTCTGTCTTTTACCAGCATATATATATATATATATATATATATATATATATATATATATATATATATATATATATACAGGCATCTTCTACAAAATCAAATATAAACTCTCTCTTTCTGCTCTTCGCACGCTTTATTACACATTTATCTACCCTTATCTAACCTACTGCATCACACTATGGGGAAATAGTCCAAAAAGCCACCTGAATAACCTAATACTTTTCCAAAAAAGATCAATACGTTTAATTTTTAACCTCAAACCCGATTCTCATACTAAACCCTTCTTTCTAGCAAAAAAAATTTTACCAGTTAACTTCATCTGTCTTTACTACTCTGCTTTATTCGTTTTTAAATTTATCAACAATCTTCTCCCACCTCACTTTATCAACTTCTACACATTAAGTAACTCCGTTCAATCTACAACCACTAGACACACCCCTCTCTTCTATATCTACAAAACTCGCCTCAAATTAATCCAGACAAGCATAAAAATAACAGGTCCTAAAATTTGGACAGAACTTGTACCTCCCCATCTAAGAGCCATCATAAGCCTACAACATTTCAAGTCAAAATTCCGTGCTTTTTTATTGACACTGGATCTCGACTCCACCACCTAATATTATATTAAGAATACGTTAGAACAAGTGATGCGGATGAATGGTCTTTATGAATGGTTAAACATTTATGTGTTTATATATGTACTGAGCGAACATTTACATAGTTATATGTCTATATATGTATGACACGAACATTTACTTTTTTATCTTCAATTATCTTTCTGCTTCAGTTATTTTCCTTATTTTATTTCATTAACTATTCATGTATCTACCTGCGGTGGCCACCACAAGACAAACAGTCTTATTCGGTCTCCGCATATTCAACCTCATAACTTTTATTCACTTATTTGATATGTTGTTGATTATGAATAAAACTTTGAAAATGAAAAATATATATATATATATATATATATAATGTATATATATATATATATAATGTATATATATATATATATATATATATATACACGTACACCTACCAACAAGATTTAAAGAATGACCGCCACATAAAATTTGTCAATCTTCAATTTTGATTTTCTTCATACTCTTGTATTTGTCAGACAAGTTGACAACATTATTTTATGACTGAATTTTGCCCTTACTAAAATCCTTTTTGCAATTTTTTTTAATATACCGTCTTAGATATTTTTATCCTGTATGGCTAACAATTTGTAAAGAAGGACACACTACTAATTTTTTTAAAAACTTGCAAAGTATTTTGTGAAAGCATATTGAAAAGACTTGATTGAATAATTTCTAGGGGTCCCCAGAAGAGCTGAACCCTTAAGCTATAGCTTGTTTAGATTGTATGTAAATCAAGCACTAAAAAAAGGTAAAAGTAGTGAAACTGGGTCTTCTATGTGGGAAATCAATGTAACGTATAATATATGTGATTAGTTAACAATTCTAAACAACAGCTATTAGTCCTCTTATCTTAATCACTAACAAATAAAGGAACCGTTCATAAAAGTTTATGAAAAAAAATTTTATAACTATTTCAATATTATATTTATTAAAATTGTGCAATAAATTATATTTATAATGTAATATTGAACAATCGTTAGGTCATTTTTCCTTTCTATTGTACTAGGACAATGTTTATCACTACTAATTTGTGGTACGGCTGTTACTTCAGGGTTATTGCAAAGCATGTCTGTAAATGTTCCAACAGGTGTTTTATAAATCATTAAATTGATTTTATAAACTTAAGTTATTAATTTTTTTGATAATTTTTGATTATATTTTCTTCTAAATTGTTATGGTAATGGTTATAAACTGTGAGCTATTATTTTTCAAATCACTGCTGGTCTTAATTTTATTTAACAACTCCTTTAACCATTCATAGAACTTGCCTAACTTATATAATATATATAAGACATAGTTGGTGCCTCATGTATCAAAAACGACAAAAATGAGATGGTTCTTGAACAAGATGAGATCAAGCTACAGTGGAGAGAATACTTCAACCGCATGTTAAATGAAACAAATCTCATCAATGTCAACTTTGACGCTCCACACATCGGAGGTCCAATTCCAGACATCACTGTAGAGGAGCTTGCAGAAGCTCTGAAAGCTTTGAAGGGTGGAAAGGCAGCATGGCCCTCTGGACTCACAAATGATATTGTCGAAGAATCTGGCATTTGACATCGGCGTTGGAGTTCACCAAGGCTCGATTCTCAGTCCACTGCTATTTATAACTGTGATGGAAGAAATCACAAAGCCGATAGGCACTGGTGACATTTGGAATCTAATATATGCTGATGATATCGTTTTAACAGCCACGTCTGAGCAGAATGCAGCACAGATGTTTGAAGATTGGAACACCAGACTCGCCGATCGTGGGTTCAAAGTCAACATCAGCAAAACCAAAGGAATGAACACTGGTGAACCCATCCAATCCACAGCTTCTGGACGATGGCCCTATTTAGTTTGTAAAGCTGTTGTAGGTAACAATTCAATTAAATGTCAGAAGTGTAACCAGAGGTATCACAAACGTTGTTCAAAATTAATTGGTACTTTATCTAAAGTGTCCAATTTTGTTTGTCCTGCTTGCATCAATCCACAACAACAAATTCGAAATAGTAATGTTTCTGAAGCCATTAAGGTAGAGAAGGTCACATCGTTTCAATATCTAGGGGATGTTTGGATTGTACTGGAACAGCTGACGCTGCACTTCGAACACGCGTAAGTGCAGCCTGGAATAAATGGCATCCCCTTGCCTCTATAACGATGCGGTGTGATATCTCACTACCACTACGATCAAAACTTTATAAATCTGTGATACGTCCGGTGTTGTTATATGGTGCAGAAACATGGTCAATGACAGTCAAACTGGACCAGCAACTTCACCGAACCGATATGAAAATGTTCCGATGGATGCAATGAACTTCACCGAACCAATATGGAAATTTTCCGCTGGATGCAATGAATTAGTCTGAAAGACCACATCAAATCTATCGAAATCCTGCGTCGTGCTAGTTTAGATGATATAAAGGACGAATGCCGGCAATACTGTCTGCGGTGATTTGGTCATGTCAAACGATGTGGAAACAGTGTCATAACTTTTCTTGCAGATGTTGAAGTACCTGGCACACGTCCAAAAGGCCGTCCAAAGAAGTCCTGTCGCAAACAATCGAGCAAGACATGAAGGCTCTAAATTTAAATGAAATGGATACAACTGATCGTCTAATTTGGCGCAAAAAATAGATGGCAAAGAAAACAACGTCCTATCTCGGGGGAACTGGGTCTCTGGACGCTAAACGAAGATTGATTGATTGATAACTATAGAACAAATTTATGTATTTTTTCGACTTATATATCTTTTTTAAACAATCTCTTGCCATCATAATATGTTAACTTCTTAATCTTAAAACGGTTTTTAATTTAACAACTTCCCGTCAGAAATATTTATTTTATCTATTTCCCTCAAAATCGAAAATTTTTCATGTAAGATTGTTTTATGTTGAATTCAAATATTTGGATCAATTTTATTTAAAGCATCAATATTTATTTAGTAAAAATTAGACAGAAGACTTTTTTCGTAAAAAATCAGGATCCGACAGACGCAGTAACTGTTACAGAATGCAAGACAGTTGTATAAAATTTAACGAATAAGTAAATAAATAAATGTAAAAACAGAGAAAAACAAATGTTTAAACATGAAAAGTAAAATAAAATAGTATAAAATAGATGATTATAAATAAATTCATCCCACAGCACAGAGTCTGGCATGTTTTTGTTGTCTCACTTTGATATTTAACATATGGAATATCAAACTTGTTGGTTTGGCCGGCTATAATGATATTTTCAGAAATAGGACCTTAAAGTACATGTTCCTTGGTATTTTAGAAGTCGAAGCTAATTATTTTATCATAAAGGCCTATCATTATACTTCAGTTACGAGTGTTCAGGTTTATTTTTAAAAGAATGTACAATTTTTCTTTCAATAATATTAAAAAGCTTTAACAATCATTTAACAAAGATAGATATTAGATTGCTTAACAACTCCAACTGTATTGCTCCTTTCTAAAGTTATTCTGAAGAGGAGTTTCAAATGGTCGAATTATTTAGGGGTTGTTATTTGCCTCGTTGGAGCTGGATTACTTGTTTTATCAGATGTTTTAACAGGCAATCATGAAAAATCCGAACTATCTTATAATTGTTAGTTATTTCTTAATATGTTTTGTAAATTTTTTTGGGGAGTTTTTTTATCACCTTGTTGAATTAAGATTCAGTCTTTCAATAACTGCTTTCCAGGTAGTTATTATTATTGCTATTTTTTGTATTGTATTATTATTACTAGCTAATAGGACGGACGCAAGGACGGGGTTGAGTGGTGGTATTGAAAGAGTGGAAAGCTTTGTTTACTTAGGGGATAAGCTGAACGCGGAAGGAGGATGTTTGAGCTCAGTTACGGCTAGAGTTCGTGTGGGATGGATGAAATTTAGGGAACTGGGTGGGGTATTGTGTGGAAAGAAATGGTCAGTGAAGATGAAAGGGAGGGTATATAAAGCATGTGTGAGAGCAGCGATGGTTTATGGTGGTGAAACTTGGGTGTTGAGGAGAGAGGAGGAAAGTGTACTGCAGAGGGCTGAAAGAGCTATGGTGAGGATGATGTGTGGGGTTAAAGTGAAGGATAGGAGGAGTAGTACAGAGCTGATGTCAATGATGGGACTGAAGGAGGACATTGTGACATTGATAAGGAGATCGAGATTGCGGTGGTATGGACATGTGTTGAGAAGGGATGAAAGGGACGGGATTAGGCGAGCGTTGGAGTTGGAGTTCGAGGTTGAAGGAGTGGTAGGAAGAGGTCGTCCGCGATTGGGATGGAGAGAGCAGGTGGAGAAGGACAGGGTGAAAGCGGGGTTGCGTGATACTGAGGCGAGTGACAGATGTGGATGGCGTCGAGGGGTATTTCGGTTTCATCATAGGTAGCCAAACGGCAACCCCCGATCTCGGGGAATATGTCGTCTAAACGTGTGTTGTTTTGTTGTTTATTATTATTACTAGCTGACCCTGTGTATTTCGTAACGTCGTAGAAATAATAGCTGTTCAGGTGCATTGTGTTAAATAAAAATAAGTGTTTTTACATTAACTTTTTAAAATATTAAAATATATATATTAAATTAACGCTAAAGTATGTACAATGTTTTTTGTCATTTCTTAGGTGTATAAATCTAAAGATTATTAGGTGTAATACAAAAGTCCATGAGAAAAGCACGCGTTTTCTAGAATTAAAATAGAGTTTATCAAATTAGGGACCTCCCACCAATTGAAAGAAACAAATGACATTGACAGCATTCAAACCAATGCACACATTCCAATCGCAATAAGCAATCAGTTAAATTCCAGGCTAAGTTTTGATAAACACATAGCTTCCATAAATCAAATTTGCATCTATCATTTTAAGGCAATAGACCATTTTTATCAACAACGGTAGCGTCATTATTAATAAGTTGTTTAGTTTGATCTAGATTAGATTACTGCAATAGTCTGTTAAATAGCATCACATAAATACAAATGAATAGACTTCAAACATTGATGGACAAAAGAGCACGTATTGCCCTAAACATTAAACTGCCTGCACATCAGACCAACTCAATAAAGAATCTACAAATTCTTCATTGGCTTCCAATCAATTTTTGCATTCAATTTAAAATTTTTACAATAATGTTATGCTTTCAACATCACCGCCAATTCATCTTAGAAATTTAATCACCATCAATTGTTGGTGCTTTTGATGCACGTACAACACTAACCAACAACACTTGTTTTCCGTCATTCCTAACCATCAATTTTGTACACACTGCCATCTTACATTAGGATTTGCACTTCACTGGCTACTTTTAAAAATATACTAAAAGCTCATTTTTAAATAATTATTATTTTTAATTTTATATAACCCTTAACTAAATTTACTACATTTTCATTTTATAAGATATTTTATTTTCACATTAATAACTTTATATTTGCGTGTACGTACGTTTTTAAACTCAATTTAAATATTAAACTGACCTACTCTAGTTGTACACATTCTATACTATGTCGAGCAATATAGAGACAAGGTTCAGACTGTATAAAATATATTATTGTCTTTTTATTAACTTTATTGCAACTCTATGTTTACCACAAAATTTGATTGATAACGCCAAAATAATAAGAATGATTGAACCCCAATTGAACAATTAAACCAGCCCCTCTAAAATGTACTCACTTGCAGTGACGAGCATTTTAGATTAAATAGGATTTTATAATTATTTCGTTATTAATATTTGGTATTTGGAGTTAGAAAATAAAAGGATGTTCCCATTATTATTATTATTATTATTATTATTATTATTATTATTATTATTATTATTATTATTATTATTATGTTGAAACATGAGAGTAGGCAGATTTCTGCTTACTCACAGTTTTTGTATATTTTAATCAGTTTTTATAAAGTTTAATAGTTTGAAAATTGGTTCTAAAGTGGCGTAAAATTATGGCGGTCAATGGTTTCTTAAATAGTTTTAATTTTTAATTATTTTATTTCTGATTTTAAACTTAATTTTAACAGTTGACGCAAGTAAATGTCCATATTGTTTAAAGACTTTATAAATGTTAATAGACACTCCTGGCGTTGTACAAAGGCTACCTTAGTCAACAATAACATTTGCACACGTTTATCTTCAAAGGATAATATTAATTTGTCTCCAAATATTTTCGTTAATAATCAATCTTTGTTTAGCGTCCAGAGACCCAGTTTCCCGAGGTAGAACGTTGTTTTCTTTGCCATCTATTTTTTGCGCCAAATTAGACGATCAGTTGTATCCATTTCATTTAAATTTAGAGCCTTCATGTCTTGCTCGATTGTTTGCGACCAGGACTTCTTTGGACGACCTTTGGGACGTGTGCCAGGTACTTCAACATCTGCAAGAAAAGTTATGACACTGTTTCCACATCGTTTGACATGACCAAATCACCGCAGACAGTGTTGCCGGCATTCGTCTTTTATATCATCTAAACCAGCACGATTCAGGATTTCGGTAGTTTGATGTGGTCCTTCAGACTAATTCATTGCATCCATCGGAGCATTTTCATGTCGGTTTGTTGAAGTTGTTGTTCCAGTTTGGTTGTCATTGGCCATGTTTCTGCACCATATAACAAGACCGGACGTATCACAGATTTATAAAGTCTTGATTGTAGTGGTAGTGGGATGTCACGCCGCATCAATATAGAAGCAAGGAGATGCCATTTATTCCAGGCTGCACGTATGTGTGCTCGAACGGCAGCTTCAGCTGTTCCAGTACAATCTAGAACATCCCCTAGATATTGAAGCGATGTGACTTTCTCTACCTTAATGGCTTCAAAAACATTACTATTTCGAATTTGTTGTTGTGGATTGATGCAAGCAGGACAAACAAAATTGGACACTTTAGATAAAGTACCAATTATTTTTGAACAACGTTTGTGACACTACTGGTTACACTGCAGACAGTTGATTGAATTGTTACCTACACCAGCTTTACAAACTGAACAGGGTCATCGTCCAGTAGCTGTGGATTGGATGGGTCACAAGTCAAACAAGATATTCTGGAATGAGTTGTCGACGTAGACTCCACCTGATTGCTTCCCGGGGAACTCGATCAAATGCTTTTTCAAGGTCTACAAAAATGGTAATAGTTGTTGATGCTTTGCGAGGTACTTCTCTTGCAGTTGCAGAGGTATGTGAATGCATCTATTGTTGATTTTCCAGCCAGGAAACCAAATTGATAATTTCCGATTGTGATGCACAACGTTAATCTTCTCTCAATGATTTTCTTGACAATTTTCAGGAAGTGTTCTAACAGACGTATACCCCAATATGATGAACAGTTCAATGGATCACCTTTGCCTTTGTATAGCGAAACTGTCATGCCATAGTTCCATTCAGATGGCATTGAGCATTTTCTGCACACTTCACGGCAAAGTTGTTGTAACGTTTGGATACCTGCAGTACCAGACGCTTTGATAATGTCATTTGTGAGTCCAGAGGGCCCTGCTGCCTTTCCACCCTTCATAGCTTCCAGAGCTTTTGTAAGCTCCTCTACAGTGATGTCTGGAATCGGACCTTCGATGGGTGGAGCGTCAAATTGACATTGATGGGATTTGTTTCATTTATCAGACGGTTGAGGTATTTTCTCCACTGTAGCTTGATGTCATCTTGTTCAAAAACCATCTCATTTTTGTCGTTTTTGATACATGAGGCACCAAGTCTTTTTTCTTACTCTTTGCTTGTTTTGCTATACGATACAGAGATTTCATTTGTTCATCTTTGCTTTTAGTGAGCCACTCTCTGCACTGATCTGTCCGAGCCAGTGCGATTTGACGTCTTGCATTGTTGTTCTTCTCACGGAAAATTTTATGGTCATCAGCAGACTTTGATTTTTGCCATTGTTTGTATGCAGCTTCCTTTTCAGCTATTGCATTTTTACACTGTCATTCCACCACCAAGTGTCCCGTTCATGCTGACGCTTTGTACCAGTTTTCCCACAAACCGTAGTTGCAGCGTTTATCAAAACGGTTTTGAATGTACTCCAATCTGTACCTGCTTGCGATCGGTGGTCTAACTGTGTGACGACAATCTTTTGAAATTTTTCTCGATGAATATTGCTTTTCAGCTTCCACGTTTTGATTCTCCGAGGCATTTGTTTAGACTTATGTTTTGAAAGTTCGACAACCAGGTCTGCCCACAAGGAGTCTATGTTGGGCGACACATGATTCGCCATGTATAATTGTATAACTTTGACATTTTTGAATAGCCTTCGGTGTTATTGCTTAACAGCGAAGAAATCAATTTGCGTGGCTGATGGTCCACTTTTGTATGTTATGAGATGTTCCAACCTTTTTCTAATAAATAAAACAGTAAACAAAACTCGTGACTTTCAGCAAACTCAAGGATGCGGTTGCCATCTTCATTCCGTTCTCCCCTAGCCAAAACCCCCATGTACGTTGTCAAAAACCATCTGTTTTCTCTCCAACGTGGCCATTGAGATCGCCTCCAATCAGGATTGTTTCAGATTTTGGTATTGTTGAGGTGGTGTCAGAGAACGCAGCCCAGAAGTCATTTTTCATCTCTTCTGATTCGCCTGACTGGTGCGTATACAGAAAAAAATAATCATTGTTTGCTTTTCTAGGCG